GTGTACAATAAGTGCCGTGTCGTCAGCGTATTGTAATATGTATGCCGTTCTGTCGATTTGATTTTTGTCTGGTAAGTTGTAATTGTATATGTCATTGCAGTATATACTGTAGAGAAAGAGAGAGCGGGGATCCTTGAGGGAGCCCTTGTTCAGGGGAAAAAGAAAAGGAGAGTGTTCTTTATGGTGTGTAGTAGATATGGTGGTGTGTGGAGTTTGTATAGTTTGTATAGTAAGCCCCTATGCCAGACACCATCAAAAGCCTTGTTGATGTCCATGAGTAGACATGACGACTTTCCGTCAGTTAGGGGAGTTGTTTGTATGTTGTTGGTCAAAATAAATAGCGGATGAATAGTAGAGTGATATTGTTTGAAGCCAAATTGGTAGGTTGGTATATGTTTTCCGATCAGTTCTTCGATTCTCTGTTTTAGTATGTGTTCCAAAACTTTGCACAGCACCGGGAGTAATATAATATGTCTGTTGTAGTTTTCCATTTGCGTACCGTCTCGTCCATTTTGAGGTATAAGAATTATTACACCACTCTTCCATGTTTTAGGAATTTTGTTATTTCTAATGCAGTTGTTGATTTCATTAAGGATGAGTTTGTGGGTTTCTTGGGTTAAGCTTTTTAGGAGTTTTGCCTTTATTTTGTCTTTCCCGGTGCTGTGTTGATTATATGTGATAGAGCTTCATCGTACTCTGTGTCTCTGATTAGTTTGTAAGTGTATTTTGGTGAGTTGTTAAAGTAGTTCAAGTACCAGTCATTGATCATGTTCCAGTTGTCAGTGTCGAAGTTAGGGTTTGTCGATATGCTGAAGGCCTTTTGATAGTGTCTGGCGAACGCGTCAGCTGTCTCTTTGTCTGTGTAACGTTCTATTCCGTTTTCGTCAATTGTGTCAGTAGTGTTAGTTTTTGGAGTATTAGAAGTTTCGTAATTTTTCGCCAGTATGTTTTGCCATTGTCATTTTGTATTTCCTTACATGTTTCTAGCCATTTGTCTTGTCGGTATTGTCCAATCAAACTTTTAATGTTTCTGTTGAGTTGGTTCAGTGTCTTTTTTAGGTCGCTATTTTGAGTATATGAATATAGTCTGTACAGTTCTCTCTTATGTTTTATGAGTCTCAGTATGAATTTGGGTAGTGTATGACGGTAGAAAACATTTTTTAATTCCGGGCTAAATGTTTCTATGGCTAGTGAAAATTGTTGTTGTATGGTTTCTATTGAAATGGACTGTGCTTGCGATTGAATGTAGTCATGTATATGTTGTTTCACTTGGTCTATGTCAGTCTTTGTTAGGTTTAACTTTTTCTCTACAGGAGGTGTACTGAAGGTACGTTGCCTATGCTGTAAGTCTATGTTAATCTAAAGTAAATGTTAAAGTAATAGCCAGGTGGTCGGATCATTTTTTTTTTCTGTAAAGGCTTATTTGTTTCTGAACCGCATTTATGTTGGACTGCGTAATATATCGAATTGCTGTTAGTATGTTAATAGAATATTTCACCTGCGTAGTTTACGGTAAAATGCAAATATTATATTATACAACGTGTTTCGAAAACGTACGGAGAAAATTCATAGTTGTTCCTTGAGCTATTCTCATAATATTTTGCATTTGATATGTTCTTTAATTATTTAAAAAAATGAAAATTATTGCGGATACTGTTCCAAAACTAAAATCAACATTACATCATCAGTAGGTGACAAACCTCAGAGATTCAGATAAGTACACGTTTTTTTATTTATCACAAGTCAGCAATTAGATTTGCAATTTTATTCGGTACAGTTATGTATGTTAATGAAAATAATGAGATATCTGCAGCTTTTCGGCTTTTATCGGGTATCCGTACTTATACTGAAAGTATGGCTTCACCCCAAATATTGTTTCGTATTACTGGAGTGTTTTACTATCGTCTTATTTATCACCCATCCACACAAGAAAATGTATTGTTGTATGTAAATTAGCTTTGTCGTTTTTACAACAGTTTCAAGCTCAATAAAGTAATTCTTTCAGAGAAAGTCAGGAAATTATTTGGGGAGAAGCATTTTCAGCGCATAGCTATATCATGTAGTTACTAAGTTTCATACTTAAAATGTCGTACACAATACATGAAACTTATGCATGTACAAATAATCGCTAATATAATTGAATCTCATTATTAGTGCCCATACACTTATTGCTTAGATTAATAATCATCTATTTACTCAAGGATGTGAATATTTTGAATAGGTCCATCTACCAGGCTTTAATCTCAGTCTCAGATAATATAAACAGGTGTTTAACTTAGTTCTCCGCATTAATATGTTTAATACGTGCATCATTAAATTTGTATTTATTATTGAATTTCGTCATAGATTTATTTCGATTGTTTAAAAATTATGGAAAGTTTAATAAAATTTTCTACAATATGACTTGATTTATTTCTTTCATGCTATTTTAACTATAATACTTATAATTTTTATTTAAATGGGGTAAATCGGTTCGTGCCTAATTTGCGTCAACACTTCTTATAACTTAATGTGCTATTGATTGTACAACTGAATAATTGATAAATAATTTCAAATGCTCTTACTCTACACAATTAAGTCGATTTAATACGGTGATATACAGGGTGATTTACGTAGACCGTGCATTAGAAGTTTCCAACTTGTCGTTTTAGAAACTTCCAATTTTGTTTCCGGTGATAACGAATATTGCCGAAACCATGTAAAATACCTTTATCCCTCTAGCTCTACAGGATGTAAGAAAGCTGCAAACTAACTGAAGATTTCAAGATGAAAGTTGCCAAACAATAATCAAAATCACGCACCAAAAAAGTCGATGTCGAAATTTATAAGAAAATATAGTATGAAATTAAATTGTAAATGTAGAAAAACCGAGTAAAACATGTTGTTTTTGAAAATGGAATAAATCCCTATTGATAATACAAGACCTCTAATTTAGAATTAAATTCACAGAAAACACCAATAAATGCAACAAATTACCTTCCAAGACAATAGAAAGTAGAGTTAAGCAAGAAATCACTACCTGTGATTTTTTCACAGTGATTAATAAATCGCAATCACCATCTGTGATAAACGTAGAAATAAACAGTGATTTAAATCGTGATGGTCTCAAATGTTATATTAAAGAGCCACTTATATTTTCACTGCTAACGCTACTATTGCGAGTTGCATGTAGTGATCATATGTTGCACATGTGGCCCGGCGAAAGAACGAACCCAAATAAAATTGTTTTATTCGCTAATGATTGATATTCTTAGGAACCTATTTCAGTATGCACCATTCATTAACCGTATTATGATTATGTATCGGTAGCCTGTCTGTGTGCTTTTAAAATAATTTTCTGGGAATACGCTTTTAGTGTTTCGGTTTTGTTCATTTTTTCGAATCGAAATTATTGCGCGAAGCCACGGATGTATTGCGCGAAGCCACGGAAAATTATTTTTTTGTGGACTTTCTTTTCTGCATTAGATCCACAGCAAAATTATCTTACAAAACAAGTACGTCGAATTTGAAACGGCACATGGAATGTAACATGTAGCAAAGTAATATTTTTGAACCTATTTTCACTCAAATTAAGTTTTCTTCAGATGAAAAATTAAAATCAAATATAGCTTGTTCACACATAATGAAGAGCTACATTCGTTAAGTGTAAAACATTAGTTTTTTGTTCCTATTTTCATTTTTTTCCAGAATGTTTTTAGAAGTTTTAGAGTACATGGGTTTACAAAATGTGCAACCAGTTGCTAGTTGCAGTCATTAAAACCATTTGTACTTTAAGTATAAAATATTATTTGTTGTATACCTAAATAAGGTTATTTATTTAAAAATATGAATTACAAATGTTTAAATTGTTTCTGCAAGTACGCACAATTGCCCATCACCTTATCACGGTACTATATCACGAAAACCAGAACCACAAGTGAAGTCACATTCACTGTTATAACAGTGATTTTAAAATCACGCTTTAGCTCATCTCTATTAGAAAGTGTAATTCACACAAAAACGACACTTGTCTGATTTTTTACATTTTTTTTAGTTTCGTACACCTTGTTTAGCTAGACGGCTAAATGTATTTAACATGGTTTCAGCAATACTCGTTATCACCGGAAATTAAATTTTAAGTTTCTACAACAACTGTAAGTTGGAAAACTTCTAATGTACGGCTACGTAAATCACCCTGTATACAGTTGAAATAATGACATTGAAAAATATTTTTTTACGAGTGAATCTAGAACTGCCATTTTTCGAACAGAAGCGATGATAATAAAGAAGCACATGTGCGCAAATGTAAATGAGATAAATTGAACGTATCACTGTCATTATAGTTTTTTTAGTATATTACATAATAATAGTTGTAAGGAGCACTTTACGTACGAATGGAAAATTAATATGGAAAAAAGTAATTCCATRAGTACGTAATTGCGTTCCAACTCGAATTATGTACAATACTTTACCTACTTACCTAAAAAATTGTATATTTTTAATTGTGTCAGTTTTGACAACGAYTAAAAGTTGACAGCAGCCCGGRATTACAAATTAAAACGTCATACGTTCATAAACAAATATTCAATAATGCACATTTTCCCGCAAATTTTTAATGTTGTTTGCGTGCAAAATATCGGACTTTTTACTGTTAATCCATCAGACTCACTCTTCAGTAGGGTAAGTATTTTTTAATACAAGATACAACGTTTATATTGTGATGTATGAAGACAGAACTGTGCGTTTGGTTGACAATGCGTAAAATGGAACTTGCTTAGATGGTAGGTAGTGTGATTTATACTACTTTCAGTAGTGGTCGTAGGTAAAACTAATTTTAGTAAAAAGTAACGGACATGTTTTTTAATTACTTACGTAGGTTTCTCCACAAGTATTGATAATAATTTAAAGTTTACTTAGAATTTGTAAATTACAACTTTGTTACAAGTTCAGTCTCAAAGTCGTTCTTATGCGCATTTTTCTGCGTTCGCCGATGTTGCCACACGCAAAGCACGATCTTAAGTAGCGCAAATGCCATGCAAAATATGCAACTTATACAAACACCATGCACGGTGAAAGCAGCACTTCAATTTTCATTTTCACTTGTATATGCTTACAAAAGTACGCTTTTGAAAAATTACAAACATCAAAACGTGACAATTTCAAAAATGGCATTGAGATCAGATTTAAAATATGAAGTTGATGCTTTTTATTTTTGATTATTCTTATTTATTATAACTTATGATCGTTGTTATGCCTTTCATTCGAATAAAAAATGTTGTTTGATACGAGGGGGGAAATCCGTTTTTCGCTATTATAAAACTGCAAACAGAAGATTATTAGCAGTTGCAAATAGTAACATTGAAAGCAGAATATGGGGAAGTTGAAATAACTAATATAAACCTTTCTACGGACCAAAAATCAATTTTATTGACATTCAGATCATGTAATATTATATACACATTAGCATACTTCAAAATTGTAATACAAAATGTGTATAACATATAAAACAGTTATAAGGCGGATAGATTATTGCGTATTTCAATCTTTCTATTCTAATTAATACATTTAATACCTACAGTGCATTTACATATGCGTGAAACCTTCGTATAAAGCCTGCCACAATAGTGTTTAGTGAGGTAAGTTTAATATAAAAGTATATTGCTTCAAATTACATACGTATAAAATATAGTTGAACAAAATACCATATTCAAGACGAGGTATTTTTATCTAGCCATTTTGCATCCTGACATTATATTTTTTTTAGTTTTTTATATAACGTTGAAAATACTTTTTTCCAAAGAGCATTGTCGTGTTGCAGATCTTAGAGTGTTAAGAAAAATGTTATTTAATAATTTCCAGTAAAGCCAGTAAAAGTTAATAATTACAGTCTAATAATTTTAAAAGTTTCAATTTGACTCTGGTGCTATTTGAAAGCACCCTGTTATGTAAATAAATGTAATTATCCAACAATTTTCCTGCGCAAGTTTACTACATTATGTTACTATTTGTCTCAAAATAGTAATATATTAATAGTTTTCGTGAATACCTACATTTTTATTGTGAATTGCACGCCTTGGCAGGAAACAAGATATAGTATTAAGTACACAGAGCGAATTATTATAGTTTTTTAATTTAGTGAACTGTTCTTACACCATAAGATTGTTATGTATTCTGACGTAACGTATGTGAAAATTGTTTTCTAACCGGTTGTAAAAACGGCATTTTAACTGGTTGTAAAAATTGATAGAGAACATTTTTCAGTAGTAATTACGTAACATAAAACGACATTTTTTCATGCAAAACATCATATGGAAATATCGCTATTTTCAACAAACTAAAACACTCTCCGATTGGCCGAAAAAATTACTCACCCTGTATAACTATCAAATGCTGATCCCTGATACGATATGCTCATTAACTATTTGAACTACGTTGATGGTTCGTTTTCTGTATGATCGACAGGAATAGAGAAAGTAAATTTTATAAAGAGAAACTGTAAATTCATCAAGTAGATTCTTTGTCAATATTACAACAAATTAGATAAAAAAATAGATACATAAAATATTCGATGTATAACTTGCCATAGAAACGAGATTATAGGTACATTAAGTAAACCTCCTCCAATTTTACATAACGCCACTATTGTAAAAACATAAAAGTATTAACAACTTACAATATACATGGTGGTAACAATGATTAAATAAGTGAACACATTTCTTAATAATATAATTACTTGTTCTAGGTGATTACGATAATAACATTAAAAACAACAATGAAAAAATTTTCTGAGCCATAAAACTTCGTATGTTTTGTTTTAACCATAAAATGTTGCTTTTTAAATAATATAATTCTATAGTTACAAACTTTTTTGTATGTAAAAAGTATGAAAGCTGGGAATAAATATTTTTTTAAGTATCTTATGGGTAGGCTGATGGTGTAGTAACGGTGGTGGTAGACTGTCTACTAATCATCCTATCTCCTTGAGCCAATTGCCCTGTTTTAAGCGCTTGATATTTATAAAACGCATCTATACCGTAAACTATCATAGCACAGAATCCAAAGAACTGAAACACAAAAATTCCAGTTGGTAAAAAAAGTAATTGCAACATAAAGAGGTAAGTTTATACAAGTTTATACATACGTTTATATGCAATGCGTGTCAGCCGTAAATAACATTTGGATCAAATCATTTATTACATTTCGGTATCCATGCAAATCACCATCTCGAACAATTCACATAGGAATGAAATAGGAATTTTTAAAATAGAAAGTGGAAATTATTTTTTACAACATCCATTTTACAGAACTAACACACGTGGTTCGTGAGAAGTTGTTTAATTGCAGCAGCTTATGCTTATTAGTAAAAAAATCGAAACGTCATAACTATATTCACGTAGAAAACAAATTCAGACAGGCATTACATATGTTTTGAACTAGTTATCCGAAATTTTATTTGACTCAGTATTTGTAGAATACATAAATAAAAAACACTTACCCCTGCTGCTATATAGGCCTCAATAGCGTAAGACACTGCCAAGCTAGCTGCAATTAAGTATAAGCCAGCCCACAATGCACAATATCCTAATTCAAACCTGAAATATCCAATAAATGATTTAAGGCTTATAAAAAATAAACCAAATAGTGGCTAACAATTTTTAACTGTTTTCAGTGGATTCGACGTTATTGCCGGTAACGTTTCAATTAAAAAAAGTTTAATACATTTTTAAATTAGAAATCAACATAAATAATGGGAATGAGGAATGGGAATCTATGACCATGGAAAATATTTACAATTGTTTTAAATATTTTGTTAGTTTTTAATAATCAAATGGAATTATATTTTAACAGGGACTTTATTAAATGCGTTGAATCAAATTAATTGATATTTACTTCAACTGTGTATCTTCCGAACTTATGAAATGTTTCTAATGTCAGTTTTTTTTTAAATATCTATGATTTCAAGATATAATCTAAACCACTGAATATTATATTCGGGGGTTTGTTGT